TTACAGGTATGGTTGCAAAATCTTGATAAATGCTAGATCTGCACACAAAAAAAGAGAATAATATCACCATACAATTATAATGTAATAACTCCTGTGCATGTGGCTTGTAACGCAGCACAAAGTTCTGCAAAAGTGGCCCTCTGAAGCATGTCCCACACATGTTCAATCGGATTAAGATCCCTGGTAAGGCAGACCAATGTAAGAGGTCGAGTGTTACACGTGTAAGGTATTGGGAAGTGAGGTGGGCAGTGTTTGGGCGAGTATTGTCCTGCATTAGAATAACATCTGGACCCACTGTACCTGCACATGGACGTACCTGTATGTCAAGAATCTCGCAACAATATCTTTCTGCTGTCAAAGTGAGGTTCGATTAGAAAGTAACAGGAAAAACAAACAGAACAGGTCATTAATTGATGAAAGAAATTATTTTCATAAGCAATTTTAAGCCTGTAATTACTGAACAGAATGAACGCCATAATATAAACTTTTAAACGGTAACTCATCCCTATCATAAGTGCCATACTATCATACAACCAGCTACGCCAGGGCCCATGACTTTGTAATAATGCAAGGGGGAGTTTAAGAACTTGTCCTATGAGTACTATTGTGGCCCTTGTGAACAGAACTTGATGACGATTTGCTATTTTCCTTTTGTGTTAATATTTCTCTACTTGCTTAGTTACATACATTGTAGCTATATGTTGTTTGACAGGAGGTCAACGACAAAATAATCATGTTATTTATACAAATAAACTTTATTTCAATAAATAGAACAAAACAACAGTTTTCTTAACAAATTGTTTTATACAAATTTTATACACTAAATAAAACAATAATAAACAACTTTTAAAAAAGTAAAATATTCAAATTTATCAATAGTCAAACATAAAACTTAAAATACAGCAACAACAAAAATGTGACAAGAGTACCAACTAGGTGCGGCAAATAACGCCCGAATGCAAATTAATTTTGTTTTAAGTCATCAAAATTTTGAAATTATAAAAAAAACTTTAAATAAAAGAAGAGACCCATTCTTGTCCGGAACATATTTCATTTTAATTATGATACTAAGTGACCCCTTAGGTAGAGAGATTTATAACTATAAGTAAATGGTTATTTCTTTTATCTTTTGTCGAGATAAAGTATGTTAATACATGCCAAGTAGCTATGTTCCTGTCACAATAACACTAACGATGACATGTATTCTAGTGGAAAAGGGGTTAGTTTGTCCACGTATATATTCTGACTGTAAACAACAACAATGCTTGGGTTTGAATGATAACAGGAACTTACAAATTATATTACACCAGTTCCATATATGGCACAAAATATTACGCCCTAAAAATTAAAATCCCATTTACAAATATTTTTCTTTATTACCTCCCCTTACATTAATAACATCAGTACCCACACAGACATTCATCTTATGTTCATGATTTATACAAAAGTGATATTTATAATTTTGTTAAGCTACATGCTAAATATCAATGCTCTTTGCATAGTATGTTTGGAGGAAAAGATGTTTAAGATATTTTACTACGTAGTACGGTAGGTACGGCCCCGGGAAAAAAGACAGGATTAGCGGAACGCAGCGCGCGTTAGTTTCCATGCTGTTTTTTTTGTATCTAGCCGACTTTGTCAGATAAAGGCATTTCACCTATAAACGACCAGATTACTCCCGGTTCCCATTGACGAAGATTCCCCGCTTGTGGGAAAGTGCTTTACTGGCGCTGCGAGCTATTTGGGGATTTGGGGCATTTGATTTTTTTAGGGAAAATTTCTGGGCGGCCATAATTTCCCCCGGGTTTGACGTCATCACATCTTTTCATTTTAAAGTTTAAATTTTTGTTTACGTGAAAATATCATTTGTTTTCTTCTTTTAATAAAAATAAAAAATTTTGAACACTGTTGGGGAAAATTTTTAATTTTTTTTCGTGTTTTAATTTAAAGGTTTGCATCAGATTTCCATAATTACGAAAACCGTTGCAACTTTGGCTATCTCTTTACAGATTCAGCAAAATTAATTTAGTTGAGACATCTGTCTTAGAGGCTATTGAATTATTGTAAATTTTTGTGAAGCATTTAGGAACAATTTATATTTATTTTGCAGATATTACTTCTGATAGCTGTCGGTCAAACATTGAACAGTATTACGGTTCTGATTGACAGACACTTACAGTTAGTGTGGTCATCCTTCGGAGGACAGCACTTCCTTGAAGTTATTTATTAATTTTGTGTTCGTGGTCATCCGAAAGGGGGACAGCGTTCACTTTCCAGGGTTTCACAGCGACAAGCATCTTGAATGTAAGTAACCTTTATTGAATACTTGTATTGCATATAACTATATATACATAAAAAAAAAAAAAAAAAAAATTAGGCATCACATCACCAATTTTTTTCACACTTTACCCTTCCCATTGAGTACCACACTACACCCTACGTTTCACATATATTTCAATAATATTTGTTTTCATACATACAATTATTGTTGTAATTACTAGACATTGTGGTTAATCAGGTTCTACCGGTCCGGATTGGCTAGTCTATTATTCAATATTTTGTCAAAAATATTTTTATTGTGAAATCTCTGTTTGGTAATATGTCTGGTTCTACCAATGCAGCAATATTATCCATTATAATAGTAGACAATTTAATATTAAAGTTTACTTGTTGAGTTAATCAAGACAAAGTATTTATGTAAGATAAAATTTATTAATTTTGTCTGCCCTGCGTTCATCACATTTCTTGTTGCAATAATTTTGTATTATAATTAAATACCTGTCATTTATTGAGCAATTATTCACATTTTTTCATCATCTATGATTATAATATCAATAAATATATAAAATACTTCATTCATACACAAATCATTGTACCCTTTTATATAATATTGTGATAACACTGCCCTACCCTACACAATGTCATTCAAAAAAGTAAGAATCAACGAAGCATCATTTGAGGAGCTTACTTCTTTGCCTGGGATTGGACACAAAACTGCACATGCAATTTTGGAGATAAGAAACAAGTATGGGTTGATCGATGAAGAAACATTACAAGCGACCCCAAACATTCGAATATCTCGGGAACTTCTTAGCCTGGTTGACTTTTACCCTGCGGATGAAAGAAGATACCAGAAGGGTCCAATAGAGAGAATTGCAGAGGTAATCAACAGGGCAGATCTCCACGGTCCCCCTAGGGACAGAGGAACATCGCGTTCAAATAAATCTTACTCTTATTCAGAGTATGACGATGAGGTATATGATGACTATGAGGAGCCTACTTACATTAGGAGAGTGCCAAGATACCAGCACTCAAATACTAGAGCAGAGACACAAGCTCCTAGATCTGCTAGAAGAATGATTAATATTCCTAGGACGCTAAATTATGATGGTGCCTCTAACTGGAAAGCCTTCTTTATGAAGTTTATTAAGTATGCCGAAACGCAGGGGTGGTCTGGCAAGGACAGCAAAGATGCTCTCTGTTTATGCTTGACTGGGAAGGCAAGCGAATTCTATGCCAACCTGTGTGACCGTGACGGGGACATGGAATATTATGACATTGTTAGACGGTTCGAAAAGCGGTTTGGGTTTACAGAATTGCCCGAAACAGCTATAGTCGGCTTCAACAATGCAAGGCAGTCATCAACTGAATCCCTGCATGATTGGGCGGATCGAATTGTATCTTTAGCAACTGAGGCGTTTCGAAACCTGCCCGAGGACAACATGTGGCCACAAGCGGTTCTTCGCTTTTGCCATGGGTGTGCGGATAAAGAGGCTGGTGAAATAGCAGCAAACGCTAGACCAAAGTCTATGGATCAGGCAATTGATCAGGTGAAGTGGGCTATCCATACCCATAGTGCAATGCATGGCAAGCAGAGAACAGTGAGACAAATCAGCCAAGAAGATCCTCAGATAAGCAATGTTGTCAAACCCTCTATTGTCAATTCCAGACTTGATCAGCTGGAAAACAAGGTAGGGGATATGGACAAGAAATTGGAAAGAATATTATCAAAGCTTGATTTTTTATGCAAACGTGTTGAGCGAGGCCGGTCCACATCTCCAAGATCACGTGGACGGGTGGAATGTTTTGCATGCAAATGCAATCATTACCGTCGTGATTGTCCTCAATTACAAAACCAAGAAAGGCCTAAAACGGAGATTAAAGAACAGGAAAAGCTAACAACAGAGGATAAAAAGGTCCAATTCCTCGAAAATGAAGACAGTGGGGATGATCTTGAGGATTTAAACTTGCAGGGGTCGGGCGAAAAGGCCTAAATTCGACCTCTACTGATGAAGGCCTATTTCCAATTGATCAGCTTAAAGCGGATCAACAAATGACTTGGGAATTGATGGCTCAAGATGATCAGCACATGGCGGATCATCCTTTTCATCAAAACAGGGAAGGGGAAACCATTACTTCAGCTGAAAGCGATCAGTTTGTGGCGGATCGCAATGAGGGAAGTAAGGGAGAAGAAGATGCTGGTGATATTGTACAGGACACTGTAACTGAGGCTTTATCGGTATGCAGGATAAAGTCAGACTCGATGTTCCGTGTTCCGGTGCAAGTTAATGGATTAAGTCTGAAGGCTGTTGTTGACACAGCTGCAGAGGTAACACTCCTTTCGGACAAAATATAATAAACAAGATCAACAAGGAAAGGCGGCGTTCAATGAACGCAACCCCCATATGACCCAGCAACAAGAACCAATGGCAAGGATCCCAGACGGACCTCAAACAAAAACAGGACAGGGCAAAGACAGAGCACGGACAGGTTAATCTTTAAATGATAAATAATTTGTAACTGATTAGGAATTCAAAGAAAATAATAATAGGCCCACAAAGGGGAAGGGGACAGGAGACCGGGGGAAGGGGGGGAGGGTTAATCAAAGAAATAAAAACCAAAAAACAAAAAGAAATAAAGACAAAGTTTACAATGAATTATCTGACAGACCAAGTAAAATCAAGGATGTCAACTTACGTACAGCCGGCAGACAGTTAACAATGAAAGGATTTGTTGCTGGTCCCTTTGATATAATCATTAAAGATAACAAATACCGGGAAGACTTTTATATTTTTCCAATACATGATGACATGTTGTTGGGCCTGGATTTTCTCAGGAAAGCGGAAGCTTTAATCAACTTGCCGGAAGAATATTTGCGATTAGGGACAAGCATAATCAATGAATTAAAGCCGGAAGGGGATATTCAAATTTCAGCTGTGAACGTTTGCAAATCTTCCACAATTCCACCAAACTCCATCACAAGACTCGCATGTGATGTAAGTTATCAAGAGGATGTCTATTGTCTAGAGTCGATGGATAATGGCGAACTTCTGATTGCACGCACCCTACATGAAGGAGGCACCAATCCTGTGGTTTGCTTAATAAATTTGAATGACTTTCATCTCAAACTGAAAGCTGGCCAGCAAATAGCCGTCGCCCAGGAGGTAAATGTTGTTCAACCGGTGCCAAATGATATGAATGAACAGCTTATTGTCCGTAAAGTTTCAGCAGACATAGGCGGTTCAGACTCTTCCAAGAATTTGCCTGCACAACTTTTAGACCTGTTTGAGAGATCGATCACACATCTAAATGATGAACAGCAGCTAAGGGTCAAGGAATTGTTGCTCGAATTCGAAGATGTATTTGCTAAACACGAATTCGACTTGGGAAATTTCACAGCTGTGGAACACAGTATTGACACAAGTGATGCCAAACCTGTGAAACAGAGAATGCACACCAATGAGATTTGCTGCCGAAGAAGAGGCGCACTTGCAAAAAATGCTTAAAGCTGGCGTCATAGAACCTTCAGCATCAGATTGGGCTTCTGCTCCGGTGCTGGTGAGAAAGAAGGATAGGAATGTCCGCTGGTGTGTGGATTACAGAGCTCTTAATGCGGTTACTGTAAAAGATGTTTATCCACTTCCGCTGATAGAAGACTGCATGGACATGCTGGCAGGACATAAATGGTTCTCGAAGTTAGATGCAAATTCTGCCTACTGGCAGATCCGTGTAAAACCAGAGGACAGAAAAAAGACAGCAGTTATCACAAAGTACGGTCTTTATGACTTCGTACGGATGGCTTTCGGTCTCTGCAATGCACCAGCAACCTATGCAAGGGCAATGAACCTAGTCCTTCATGGTTTAAATTGGAACACCGTGCTCTCTTTCTTGGATGACTTGATGGCTTTGGGGAAAAACTTCGGTGATCATCTTAGAAATTTGAGAGATGTGTTTACCAGGTTCCGGATTTATCAGCTTAAGTTGAAACCGAAGAAGTATGTTCTTTTTCGGACAAAGGTCGAGTTTTTGGGACGTATGGTCAGGCCTGATGGGATAGAGATTGGAAAGGCTGATATTGATGCGGTTAGCAAATGGGCCAGACCGACATGTACGAAGGAAGTTGAAAGTTTTTTGGATTTAACTAACTGTCATAGGTCATTCATACCAGACTATGCTCTTAGGGCCTCTGCACTGTATAACATTACAGGAAAAAAAACATTTGTCTGGACTGAAGCTCAAGAGAAAAATAGATAAATACAGAATCCCTAAAGAAAGCCCAACACGGCAAAATTGAGTCATTCAATGATTTAAAGGATGCACTAACAAACCCACCAGTACTTGGTCTTCCTAATACTACAGATCTGTTCATACTGGATACGGATGCATCAAATGTAGCGGTAAGCGGGGTATTATATCAACAACAGGAGGGAACAGAAAGAGTTATTTCTTACGGTTCCTATGCTCTTATCCCGCAGCAAAGACGTTATTGCACTACCCGGAAGGAACTATTAGCAGTGGTGAGGTTTACCCGTCAATTCAGACATTATCTCCTGGGGAAACCATTTAAGGTTAGAACTGACCATAGCAGATTGACATGGTTACTACACTTCAAGGAGCCTCAGGGACAAACAGCTAGGTGGTTGGAGGAGCTTAGCCTGTATGATATGACCATACGCCGCTTTTCATGGAATGGCACGAAGGTTCCATGATAACCGCCGTATGAATACATCTGCGGATGTTTCTAAATTCAAAATTTTACTATTTCACGTCTAAATGTTGAATTCTGCTTAAGCCGGTGCTAGGGGGCGTGGACGGTAACTTGCACTTTCCAGTACCGTCCATGAACAGGCTCAATCAAACCGAGCCTGCAACATTTTCAATTTTGCCGTGTTGGGCTTTCTTTAGGGATTCTATATTTATCTATTTTAGTTCATAGACCTGGGAAACAACATGCAAATGCTGATGCTCTGTCAAGGATCTCGTCATCAATCTCCCCTTGTACGGAATATAAAGCAGACACTAGGCTTGAGGATTTGCCTTGTGGAGGTTGTAAATATTGTGCCAAAGCATACAAGGAATGGCGAGGTTTCGAGGAAAATGTGGATGATGTTGTGTCTCTCGGCCGTAAAATATGTAATGCTGAAGAGGAAGAGCATGACCTACAAATGTTTAAAGATGTAGATCTGTACATCAATGACACTGAACCACCGCTAGAGCCAGGACAAGCTGGGCTTGTCCTTACAATTGACAAGGTTCAGGAGGTATCTATTGACCAGACTGACCCTACTCCAAAAGCTTGGGATTTTCAAATTCAAAGTCTGCAAAAGGCCCAAGGCGATGACCCTGATATGAAGTTCCTAGTCATATGGCTGGGCACTAAAGCTGAACCAGCGGAAGGAGAGTTATTTATAGCTGGACTTAAAGCCAAGTTTTATTGGGTCAACCGTGAATGTTTCGTGTTAAAGAATGGACTAGTCTGGAAGAAAGATCTAAAATCGAGCACAACTCGCTTGGTTATACCGGACACCCTTAAAGATGAAGTTCTGTTCTTGTGTCACAGCATTCCCGCATCTAGTCATCAAGGAGAGGACCGGACATTAGCAAGAGTTAAGAGAAAGTATTATTGGCAAGGCATTTCCAAAGACGTCAAGCAGTATATGGCGACCTGTCCGGCATGCAATAAATGGAAGGAGCATGTTCAAAAGGCTAAATGGGAAATGTCCAAATTTAATGCTGGAGCACCTTTGGAGCGTGTTCATTTGGATTTTTTGGGACCACTGCCCAAAACTGTCAGGGGAAATGAATATGTACTGATGGTAGTCGATCAGTTTACAAAATGGGTTGAGTGCTTCCCACTACCATCACAAACAGCGGAGGAGACAGCTCAAGCAGTAGTAAATGGTTTCTTCTCCAGGTTTGGTTGCCCTCTGCAGATCTTTACGGACAGAGGAAGTAATTTCGAAAGTAAGCTCTTTTCTTCGGTCTGTGATTTGCTGCAGATTCATAAAAGCCGGACAACAGCTTATCGGCCGTCAGCCAATGGTCAGGTGGAAAGATATAACCGGACCCTGATGGACGCCGTTAGATGCTTTGTGGGAAAAAATCAAGGCTCATGGGATAGGCTGCTTCCACAAATAGCAGGAGCACAGAGGGCAAGTGTAAACCGTCATACGGGTTATACACCGAACATGATGATGCTTGGGAGGGAGGTTAACATGCCTGCTGACCTCATCTTCCCCAGTATGTATGAGGAAGTCCTGGATTCTGACCATTATGTGACACGTCTCCAGAACAGTCTAGGGTCGGCTCATGAAGCCGCTCGCGGAACATTGAAAACTAGCGTCGAGACCATAAAAAGACACTATGACGTGAAACTTTACAAGAGACAATTTGAAGTTGGGGATGTTGTGTACATTTTGAATGCTGCAACAGTTAAAGGACAAAGTCGTAAACTTGCCCCCCCCCCCCTTGGAAAGGGCCAGCGGTTGTGGAGGTCAGAATTTCTCCTTATCTATATAAGATAAGATTGCAAAGAGAATCAGTCACAACCAATCACGACAGGATGAAGCCCTGCAAAATAACGGCTTTACCTGCTTGGGTTAAGAGGATTCAAAGACAGCTGACGTCTTCAGAGCTCTCCAAGCCGGAGGATCAGTCAGCGGTAGAGTTATTTTGCATCTGTAACGGGCCAGACACTGGCCAGTTTATGGTGCAATGTGATACCTGCGATGAATGGTTTCATGGCGAATGTGTCAACTTTACGGAAGATGATGTCAAAGACTTAGAGGAGTACATCTGTCCAAAATGCGCACGAGCCATGAGGGATTAATAGAGGGCGGACAGTGTTTGACATTGCCTATGTATATTACTTATCTTAATCTTTACTTTCCAGAAAATGGCGGAAGGTTCACAAACACCGACGTCTTCGAGTTCAGACTCGCCAAGGAGAAGTCCGCGCAAACAGTTTCACCAGCCACTAAATCTGGTGAAACTCCAGACGCCCCTGGAAGAAGTCTTAACGGGAAAAAGTTACCTTTCTAGCATGTAATTCTAACAAAGCTTTTTTTTACTAACGGTATTGTTAAACATTATACTATGTGGACCTGTGACGAAGTTTTGTAGAGCACTCTCTTTTCTTTTAGACAACATTTATGTCAGGTTTGGTAATACCCTATTTAAACAGATCATAGGAATTCCTATGGGTACTAATTGTGCACCCCTGGTCGCCGATTTGTTTTTGTACTGCTATGAAAGAGACTTTTTGTTGAGTCTCTCTGAAGAGAAACAACAAGATGTTATAGTCGCATTTAATAATACTTCAGATACCTGATGATATTTTTAATTTAGATAATCCTTATTTTGATCAAATGGTGTCTGACATTTATCCGCATGAACTACAACTTAATAAAACGAACTCTTGAAATTTTAGTACATCATTTTTGGATCTTCATATTACTATCAATAACAATTCTATTCACACGAAAATTTATGATAAAAGAGATGACTTTGACTTTTGTATAGTTAATTATCCACATTTGGATGGAGACGTACCCCATGCAACATCCTACGGGTTTATGTTTCTCAGTTAATTAGATTCGCTAGAGCTTGTAACAACGTAAAGGATTTCAACGAGCGGAATATTTTTATTACCAGCAAGCTTCTAAAACAGGGCTACCGCTATCATAAATTACGGAAATATTTTACTAAATTTTACAATCGTAACTTTGATTTAATTTCTAAATTCAATAGTGATTTAAAAACTCTTCTGCGACAAGGGATTAGCCAGCCTGGTTTTTATGGCGATGTGGTTTACAAACTTCGTAAGATTTTGGGTCATGGTAATTTTTTGCTGTTTTTACTAAAATCATTAAACGTTTTATTAAAAGAGGTTATGACCCTACTATTTAAGACATACTGCATGTTTAGTGTTCAACCCTTTTACAGTTGGACACTACGCTTTCCTCTTTTGATTGCATCTGACGGACCAAGTGGGAGACTCTATGATGGATAGTTCGTAAAGCCCTTTGGGACTGAATTGTCTTAATGTTCGTCTTTCTGCCTTGCTTTGTCGGGCCCTTGTAGGTGATTTTCTTGTTGCTCTGTCTTCCTTTAGGACATTGAGTACTTTTGTTATGGTCATTGGGTTTACTTTTATATGTTTCTACATGATCATTTTAGTGTTTTACTTATTTAACCTTTTGTAACCATGACAACTGTTAGAATTTCACTTGGGCGGGGATTCATTTTATTTTACACTGTCTCGTTTTATAGGAACATGGGTGGGGGCTAAGAGCGAGGTTTGGTGCACCATTTAACCGGTTTAAACTCCCCAGCAGTCATTATTATGCTGCTGACCGTTCCAAGGCGGCGCCCCACTGTGTTCCTCAGATGTTTGTCTATGTTGTTTCATACTGTTTGGTGACAATTTTGCTCTTGTGTCCCTTGTTGTTTTCTCGTCTACGGTAAGTATCTTCCCCATTGCCTCTAGTTTTTATTTCTTTGATTGAAACCCCCCCCCCCCCCTTCCCCCGGTCTCCCTGTCCCCTTCCCCTTTGTGGGCCTAATTATTATTTTCTTTGAATTCCTAATACAGTTACAAATTATTTATCATTTAGATGATTAACATGTCGTTGCCCTGTCCTTTTTATGTTTGGGGTCCACCTGGGCTCCTTGCCATTTGGTTCTTGTTGCTGGTCAAAATGGGGGTTTTCGTTTTTTAAAAGAAACGCCGGCCCTTTTTTCCCTTTTTGATCCCTTTTTTTTCCCTAAATTTTAACCCGGGAAAGACCAAGGTAGACTGGGGGGCTTCCCCCAAAAGGGGAAATTTTTACGCGTCTTCACACGTTTCTGCGGCTAAACAAAACGGGCAAAATCCAAAAGCCCCCTTCTTTTTCCAATATAATTAGCTAAGGAAAAGAAGAAACGGGGGGAAAAAAAGGAATTTTTTAAAAGGGGGGTGGGGGTTTTTCTTCATCCAAAACGGGCAAGTGGGAAAAAGAAGGAGGAAATATTGATTTTCCCCCACCCAAAATTTTTGCCGACAGGCCAAAAAAATGCCAAACCCCTCTTGCCAATGACTAAAGATTACGCTTTTTTACAGACCCGTTCCTTTAAAATTTCTTGCAATTGAGGGAGGGGTGGTTTAAATGTAAACGGAGCCCACAAAAGGAACCCGTTTGACAGGGGGAAAAAAGAAAAGCCCCGGAAAAAAGGGGGCCCAAAAAAAAATGGCAAAACTGGTTTAAAACAAAAATTTTCCTGGGAGCCCCGGGAAAATTTTTAATAATATCCCGGGGAAAAGGAAAGGGAGCCCTTTGAGGAAAAAAAGGGGAAAGCCCCGAAATTGTCCGGGTTTCCCAAACTTGGGTTTTAAAAAACCAAAAAAAGGAAGGGGGAATTTGACAAACCCCTTTTAAAAGGTAGGGGGTTCAATTTTTGGGGCGAGGGGGCAAAAAAATTTTCACTCGCTGGGGGGACCCGGGGGATTTACCCTCTTTTAAGAAAGCCCCATCTTTTGGTTGAAACAGGAGAATTTTTCGGGTTCCCTTCTAGTGGGGCACTTTTGGGTTTAAAAAAAGATTCCCCAAAGGGCTAACCTTTTTTGGACCAGGGAAAAAGACAAAAAAGAGGATCTAGTCCCCCACAAGAGGCAAGTCGTGGAAAAGTGCGCTTAAAGAGTTGTGTAATTTGCAAGCTGCAAGAGTATGTTTTCGCAACATAAGACGCCACGCTATGGAGAAGCATCTTCCAAAGCCTTTCCAGGAGAATGCATTAGCTGATAGCTCTCTTCACAACAAGAGGATACAGTTGCTGAATGTTTCTGAAATGCAAGGTTCTGGGAGAGAAGGCTACCTTTAGTGATATGTTTAAGGTGGGTGAACAGTCAAAGAGCCATGTCAGTGGACACATTTGTACCGGATACGGATTTTAAATGGCTACAGAAAGCCTGCAGAAGGCAACGGTGGAGACAGCCTAGGAGGTTTTCGTTAGTGCCAATCAAACTGTGAAGCATATTGTTGTTTCACTGGGGAGTCCCTTTTTAGTGCGTTAAAAACCACGTCCCCGAAGAAAGGGAAAGTTTGTTATTTAAGCAGGGTAAACAAAAAACCCCCAAATCACAGTGGGTGCAGCGAGGGAAGATTTCCGGGTTGTGGACAGTGGGGGTTTTAAACAATTTTCAATGGCCACCCCTCAATGACCGGGAAAAGCATTTCGACTCTAAATTTCCATGCAAATAGGCTGGTAAGGTCCAAAATGGAAATCCAAAGGAGGGCGGTACCGCCCTTTATCAAGGCGTCATTGGAGTTCTTCCAACAACACCCGTAAAAAGTAATTGGTGGAGTTATGGTTTCTTCCCCGAAATTTCCAAAAAACGCTGCCAATAAAAAGGGTTTTGGTTCTCCTGGGATTTCATCCAAAGAATGCCATCTCCTTCTGATTCTCCCCATCAGAAAACTTTATATGGAGAGATAGGGCTTGACAGGACGGAGCCAGAAATGTCTTGGGATCTGCAGGAGAAGACCATGGTGCGTTTACTTCAATTTAGCATGCCGGTTCGCCCAGTTATTCTACATATGCGGGATGGAACAGACCAACATGCTGGGGAGGTAAGCGCCAAATGGTCTTCAAAATTATGAAAGGCTAATACAGCCCCTACGCAGAAGATCCACCTACACTCTTTGGGGGAACTGTGGAACAGGTCGTTGGCTGGTTAGAGGCATTCCCTGTTACTTGGATTTAGCGACAGAGTAACACATTTCGACAAGGATCAGGTTGCTGCCCTCCAAAGGGTCCCTGACAACAGACTTCTGCTGGAAACAGATGACCCTTACTTCAAAAAGAGTGCAGTCAAAGCAAGTACACCAGCTTTTCTGGGAGACATTGGTGATGTGGTCAGCAAACACAGAGGTACTTCATTACCGGAAACAATGAGGCTGACTACTCGCAATGGTCAGGATTTGTACTCTCTATAGGATAAGGTTACAGAAAAGTTTCAGCGTTAGCGGAGCTTTGTTTGTCCATGCTTATCGACGACATGTAAATTTAAGGAAGTTGCTCAGCGTAAGCGGAACATTTATTGTCATAATTATAGACTTAAAGGAAAAATTGTACCTCAACTTGATGACTTTGAGCACCGTTAGTCTGCCCTAAAAACTGGAAGTATTCAAACCTAAGCTAAGGCCTTTTTCTATAGAATGGGGAGGAGTGTAGTACGGTACGGCACCGGAAATAAGACAGGAAATTAGCGGTAACGCATGCGCAGCAGTTAAATTCCATGCTCGTTTTTCTTCTTGTATCTAGATCG